TATATATATATATTTATTGTTTTTTATATTAGCTTTTAAATAATGTTTTCAGTTTAAAGATTAATCGTAAACTAAATATTCTATTTCATTCTGGCAACTGTCCTAATGGCACACCCTAATAGATAGAAAATTGGAACATGTTTCGCAGACAAGTATGTATCCACACTGTCTGGGTCCTTACCTCGTTCTACATGCTTGTGGTGTGGTTGGAACCCCATGTGTCGACACTGTTTCACGTTATGCAACGTATGCCGTAATGTTGCAAATAGTAGCCGCAAACATTATCGGAATAAATGCATACGGTTACTGTCACATTATTAGCGATGCAAAGGTCAAGAAATTAGGAGAAATTGGGCACTGTGCCCCCCAGGTTACTGATAAGACAGAAAATGGCAACGATTGTATCAATATTTAATGATACACTCTAACCACAATTAAAAGTTGTTATTGACGTAATTATTTTATAAAGAAGGCTACATATGTATTATGTATATCAAGGAGGACTGTTGACTATGCGGCTGACTCAGTTAATGGATTTAATGCCGTCGTCCGGAGAGAACCCTTGGGGGTACCAGTAGCCTCTGTGGCACCCGTGGCCCCTATTGTAGCCCGATATCACTAATGTTACGACACAATTTCGACTGATTGTTAAATAATTGTAAATGTTGTTTCGAATAATTAGGCTTTTTTATTATTAAATAATAGCACCATACTTTGTCCTAATTGTTTATTTACTTACCCTTATCTATATCTAAAGATATAATAATGAATTTTAATTAATTAAATGTTCTAGTATAGGGTGACAGGAAATTGGTCGTATTCCTCTCGGAAGAAGAAACTGTCACTAATTTGGAATCAGTTGGGGGTTGGAAATGTGTCATTTTTGAGAAAATCTACTAAGGACTTTGTTTTATTTCTTTTATTATTGTAAGCTTTAACACACAACGTAAAATCAAACGGTAAATTTCGTGGCTTTAAGAAAGTTGGGGAATCATGGAAATGTTTAGGCAAAAAACTAAAAATTTTTTTAAGTAGATTTTCTCAAAAATGGTACATTCCCATCCCCATGTGATAGAGGTTAAATCATTCAAAATCAGTACCTTCTCCCGAAAGAAATACAGTCAAAATCTGTTATAACGACAGTGAAGGGACTACTCATATTTGGTCGTAAAAACCGATAGTCGTAAGAGCCG